GGGAAAGCAGTGGAGGATGGCCCAAAGCCAGGTACCCCTACATCCATGTGGAAGACCTGGAGGAAGGTCCTGGCTCCTGGCTTCATATCAACCCAGCTCCAGCCATTGTAGCCATTCAAGGAGTGAACCAGTGAATGGAACAGGAGAGGAGAAAGAAGAAAGACAGAAAGCGAATGTGAAAAAATATATATATTTATTTTTATTAGGAAGCAGAGAGAAAGATCTTCCATCTGCTGGTTTACTGCCCAAGTGAACGCATCAGCCAGAGCTGAGCCAATCTGAAGCCAGGAGCCAGGAACGTCTTCTGGGTCTCCCATATGGGTGCAGGGTCCCAAGGCCTTGGGCCATCCTTACTGCTTTCCCAGGCCACAAGCAGGGAGCTGGATGGGAAGTGAGGCAGCCAGGAAATGAGCTGGCACCCATTTGGGATTCCGGAGTATGCAAGGCAAGGGCTTTAGCCTCTAGGCTACTGTTTCTGGCTCATTTTTTAACTAGCTTCATGACATGAGGCAGATAGCATTTGGACATAAAGGATATTTAGAAAATATGTTCTGAAGAATGACATTGGCAATTGTGCTTTCTAAGCGAAAAAAAAAAAAAAGAGAGAGAGAGAGAGAGAGAGAGAATATGCAGGGAGAAAAAAAAGTATAAAAAAATTCTCCCTTAAACTGCCCTGATCCTTCCCTCAGAAATATTGAAGTGGCCCAGTTTTACAATAGCACTGAGCTGAGAAACACAGAATAAACATTCAAATTATTCTAAGCATACACAGCTTTCCCTTCTGAGCTAAATTTTTAAAAGTTCATTTATTTATTTGAAAGGTAGAGTGACAGAAAGACACAGCGAGGGAGGGACAGAGATCTTCCATCTACAGGGTCACTCCTCAAATGGCTTCAATGGCCAGGGCTGGGCCAGACAGAAGCCAGGGGCCTAGAGCTCCATCTGGTCTCCCCCATCCCCTCATCCCCTCAGGCATGCATGAACAGAAATCTGGGCTGGAAATGGAGCTGCCAGGACTCCAAGCAGCCTTCTGGGGTGGGATGCCGGCATCCCAGCAGGTGGTTGCACTGGCAGCACTGCAATGCCATCCCCACTTGACCTCCTAAATGATGGTTCCTAGGCACCTGGGCTCTGACAAATGCCATGGAGTCTCGTTAGTGGTCTGTCCACTTGGATGCGCCCAAGGTCAGCGTGAAGTTACCACTGCGGTTAAGAGGAGAATGTTTGTCCTTCCTGCTCTGTGGCTTTGCCTGCAAGTCTGCAGAGATGGATACAACAGGCTCTCCTGAAACTTTCTAAACGAACTTCACTGTCTGCGTCCCCAGAAGAGCACAGGCTGGCTGGGCCCTTTCTCCTCTTCGCCACTGCTCGTGTCCCCAGGGAGGATCTGCAGGCACGGGGTTGGTAGTGGAGGAACACAGAGGACAGTAAGGCCCCCTGGGTAGGGCAGATTGGGGATTTTCATCAGGAGCTTGCAGCCACTCAGGCGCCATGGTCATGGGGTTCTCTTCCTTCTTTCCCCCACTCCTGATGGCCACTCTTCTCTGGGTAGGCAGGGCTATCAGTGGTTGATCTGGAGGATGGACGGGGCCTCCCTATCCTTGGGACAGCTACATCAGTTCTTCCCAAGGCATTCAACGCACCTGCCTTGCTACAGCATGCAAAAGGATGACTCAGAGGCAAACGTCATTAGAGGAGCTTGGGGCAAGGGTGATGTGTTCAGTGGAGCCTTATTGAACAACCCGGGCTGGTGAGGGCTGCAGATCCTGACACAGGGGACAGGGGAGGGCGTTGTGCAGAACCCTCTGTGTTCTCTGTGAACCTGGCACTGCTCTACAAACATCAGCACCACAAACAGCCAGCACGGAGCAGGGGGAACTGCTGCCACAACGTCAGAACTGGTTCATTGGCACGGTGCTTTGGAACTAGCAGAGTAGCTGCTTTCTCAGGTGCTCCAGAAGGACACACATCCTTATTTCACATTTTTTTTCAAGAAGAACCATCAGCAGCACAGGGAGCTGAAGTGAATTTATCTCAGTCTAACAGGTGCCCGAGCCAGGCCTTAGAACAGCCATCTCATTCCAGTAACCTTGTATCTGTCTCTCTTCTTCCAAAAGCTTCTTCAAAATTAATTTTGGCTTTTATGTATTTGAAAGGAAGGCACAGAGAGAGACAGACAGATAGACAGACAGACAGACAGAATGTCCTATTGTCTAATTTGCTTTTCAAATGCCTTGACAGCCAGGGCAGAGTGAGGCAGAAGCCAGGAACCCGGAACTCCACCCAGAGCTCATGGCAGGTGGCAGGAATCCATGTAGCTGAGATCAGAAGCTGAGCCAGGACCTGCTCCCAGGCACTGTGCTGTGGGGTGACTCCAGGCACTGTGCTGCGAGGTGACCCCAGCACTGTGCTGTGGGGTGCTGGGAGCACTGTGCTGTGGGGTGCTGGCAGCATTGTGCTGCAGGGTGACCCCAGGCACTGTGCTGCGGGGTGACCCCAGCACTGTGCTGTGGGGTGCTGGCAGCATCCGAAGCAGGATCTTAACTGCTGCACCCTACATCTGCCCTGACATGGATATCTCAATGAGTCACAAGCTTTTAGGGGGAAACAAAAGTGAACCCTATTTCTGTCCTGGAGGAGATAGTTACAGTAATGTACTGGCTATCAATGTAATGAAGCAATCAGGGGAAAGAACTGGGAATGAATTTACGGCAGAGAAGCAAGGCTGTACCCTCGAATGTCCTTTCAGAGAGAAGACAGGTTGAGGAGCAAGTGGTGCTCACACCACCAAACCCAGGGCACCTGGTGGTCGCGGAGGAGAGCCCAGGCTCTTCAAGGAGACCACCCAGATTTCCAATTCCTCATGTTCAATGGGTGTGTAAAGAAATCACCATAGAAACCAGTGGCAAAAATAATGCCCTCCTGCTCCCAGTCCCTGAGCCTGGGACTTAGGATACAAGCTATGAGCCCCACAGAGAGTAAACCTCTCTTGAACAGTTTTAATTCTTTAATCATGACAACAGCAATAGCCAATATGTATTGAGAGCTCAGTATGTACTTTTCTTAGTTTTCAGTGAATAAAAATTAATTTGGGGCGGAAGGTTAGCATTTAGCCAAGGGTGAAGGTGTGTGAGTCCTCTTTTGGGGTGTCTGGGTTCCATGTCTAATTCCAGCTCCCGGTGCCACCTTCCTGCTAATTCAGGTGGGGCATGGCAGCAGATGACAGCTCAACAGCTGGTTTCCTGGCACCCACATTCTGGCCTCCTTGCTATGCACTGACCTTCTCTGACCTTTGCTGGCGTTGCCAGAACAAACCAGCAGATGGAGGATGAGTCTTTATTCGAGTCTTTCTCCATCTCTCGGCCTCTTAAATAGTACTCACAGAAATAGTTAGAAGCGGAATGTGGCCCAAAGACCTGGGCCTTGCCCTGTCGGGTATGGAAGACCAATATGGCCACACAGAGCAGGAGTGCACCTCCCCCAAAATGAAGACCAAGCCAGGGTGAAACCAGGATCTGGGAACTCCATCTGGGTCATAGCCAAAGGTAGCAGGAATCCAACTACTGGGATGCTTCAGCAGGAAGCTGGAAATAGAGCAGTCAGGCCTTGAACTCTAACACGAGACACTGGCGCTCCAAACAGCAGCTTAACCTACTGCACCACCACACCTGCCCCCCTGTAATGGGGAGCGTCTTCCACATTGCCCATCATTTTCAAGAGCAAACATGGGCAGATATGCCAAAGCCACTGACATTCACAGCAGGTGGGTGTCTGGCAGTCATACAGTAGTAAGATGCTGCGGAGTGGGCTGGGCGTCAGCAATTGGCCCGTCATCAGGAAGACACTCCTTTGTAGTGACCTCTGTCACATTGCCACTGGGTTCATTTTTCCACCTGCTGGTTCATTTGGGGAATCTTATTTAGACGGAACACAGCATGAAGGTTAACAAAAAGATACCCAGAGAAGCACCTTCGTATCGGAGCTTGGGTCTGTCTGAGTAGGACTGCAGTGTTGTCATATTGGAGACACAGGAGGGCGAATGCTTCGAGCAGTTAGGGAGTGGATGCAGAAAGGGGGTGCAGGGGACAAGTCTCTGCCTCAATAGGCAGCCTTCCATAACCAGTCTTCTCACATGATCTCTAGTCCCAAGGACTACCCAATGGCATGAGACTGTTTGGCGAGAGAAATAAGGGGTGCCCTGAATGTTTGTCCTATTTCCCTGACACAATTGTACCATCCCCATCACGGGCTCACGTTCTGTGTTCTCTGTCCATCTGTGGGTGATCCCCGCCAATCGCCAGGTGTCCCCCTGCAAATCCCTGCCCCAGCATGCACAAGTTCCCAGACTTGTTCAGTCACGAACCCCCTAACTTGAGCAGACCATGTCTTTCCAAAATCATACACATAAACAAGGCAGAATCTGTACTCAACAAAAGACTATTTGCACTGGGCCACCAAGGGCCCACAAGTGACCCAACACGTTAAAATGTTCTAGCTAGTACCGCCACCTAGTGGCAGAAGGGAGCATTTATTTTTTGATTTTTCCTTTCCTCTAAGAATCTTATTGATGAGATGGGCTTTTTATTTCTTTTTCAAATGTTCCTTTGGTTAATTCTTATGAACAGCTGCCCCATCTGAAACTTGCCTTCATCTCTTTTTTTTTACTGACACCAATTAGGCAAGGTGAGCAAACCCACTGTGTTTATAAAGTCTGATGACTCAAACAGGCACCCATATTGAATAACATCTCTCTAGAGGGTCTAGAAAACAAATACTGTTTTATTTCTAAAATTAATACTAACCAACTTCTCCATATAAAGGAGCAATAGGGTGTTCACCTGGTAGTCTTCTACTTCTGACGTCGCATAATTCCTTTTCTGCACGCACACACACACACCCTGTGAACTGTCACATGGAATATACAACCTGGGGAAGACAAGCACAAAGCCTTCCCTACAGGTCCCAACACTGCAGGAATCCCCAGTAGCAACGGGACGTACCTCGGGCTGTGGCTCAATTCCTTTTCTTCCTTTAAGGTAGGTAAGCACTCATGATCAGCTAGGACAGAACGAAAGCACACACACTGTTAATCACCGAAGCACTCTTTGCCAGCCACCAAACTGGCCAGATGGCTATTGCGTATCCCTGAGGTGTGCAAAAGTGGCTTCATCAGGGAGTTGCAGAGCTTAACCCTAAAGGTTCTAGAAGGTTCAGGAAGGCTCTGGAAAGCTCTGGAAATGGGAAAAGCAGCGGTAACACGGATGCCCTCCCTGCCCCCGAGAGTGTGTTGCTCATCACTGCCTGGTGATTCAGTGAGAACGCCAGTGTTGCTCCCAAGCTAGAATCTCGGTCTTTGGGCTTTTGTGCTCTGACTGAGGTCCTGCTGGCTGTGCGATGGCTGCAGTGAGAGCACACAACAGGAAGTAAGCGGGGGCAGTGGGGGTGGGGTGGGGTGGAAAGCAAGCAATCTCCCCAAAGCCAGGAGAGCATCACTACACCTCCAATGACTTGCAAGAAGATTGAAAACCCACTGGAGTCATCCCCTCTGTGCCAAAGGAGCTCTCTGCTTTGGCCGTCAAGCGCAAATGTCTGGAAATCTTGTTTATTTATTTGAGAGACAGAAAGAGCACTCCCATCAGCTGGTTCACACGGCCAGGGCTACGGCTGTGCCAAAGCCGAAGCCAGGAACTAGGGATTCAATCCAGGGGATGGAACATGGGGAGGGGGAGGGAAGACCCCAGTACCTATTAAACTGCGTCATAAAATAAAGAAAAAAAACCCTAATGACTTGAGACATTGCTATTGGCTCCCATGGTGTGGGTTAGCAGGGAGCTGAAGCCAGGAGCTAGAGCTAGGAAGCAAACCCTGGCCATTCCCTCATGAAACGTGCACATACTAACCCTTATAAACACCCATTATTATTGGGCCCGGCGCGGTGGCGCAGTGGTGCAAGTGGTTAAGGTCCTCGCCTTGCACGCCCGGGATCCCATATGGGCGCCGGTTCTGATCCTGGCAGCCCTGCTTCCTTTCCAGCTCCCTGCCTGTGGCCCGGGAAAGCAGTCGAGGACAGCCCAAAGCTTTGGGACCCTGTACCCGTGTGGGAGACCCGGAAGAGGCTCCTGGCTTCGGATTCGCATAGCATTGGCAGTTCCGCTCACTTGGGGAGTGAATCATCGGATGGAAGACCTTCCTCTCTGTCTCTCCTCTCTGTATATCCGCCTTTCCAATAAAAAATAATAAAAATAAATCTTTAAAAAAAATAAACACCCATTATTTAATCTTATGCTACTTTCTCAGGTCAGAGGGTGTGGCAGGATAAGTTAATACAACCTATACAAATACGAAAACAAGGGGTAACCATCAATATAATCATTACAATGCCTAGCCAAGGCTAGTCTGAGCCAAGGTTATTATCTGTAAGCATAAGATCAAAGGCAGGAACAGGCTCTGTCCAGTTCCAGGATTTACCAGGAGCTTTTATTTATACAGTAGTTGCTGCCTTCTATGACAATAGCCAAAAGCACCTTCAGCTTACCACGTACCGTTTCTATTCATGCTGCTCATCCATTTGTCAAGCTCTTCCATCTCAATTTCCATAACAGAGGGCGTGTCTTCTTCAAAAATAGGGCTAGAGTTGGACAGCAAAAAGCTCATTGAAAGCGATGTGTGGTGCATTGGATGTCATTTGCAGGGAGCAGTGCATGTGGGCTCTGAGCAAGAGGCACTTGACTTAGAGTCTGACACTCCAGGGCTGCCTCTGTGTGTGTGTGTGTGTCCTATTCAGAAGCATCAAGCTCTATATGAAATGAGACAAACACTAAAGCAAACCCACCTCTAAATGGGGAACCCACTGGTCCTGCACATGGGCCCAGAAAGGAAGCTGGGGCCAGCTTCCCTGCAGGTGCAAAACCCAGCCGGCAAGCCTTGCTTGGGTGCTCATGCGGCCAAGTGGCCACACGTTCAGCTTCGCTTCATTTTACTTCTCTTTCCTCGGGAGGCCGGAGAGCAGCTAGTCACAGGCTGCCCCGCTCCACCCATTCCTCAGGCTTTTTCCATGTGGAGAAGGGGCAGGGGAAACAGGCTGTCTCCTTCATGGTTTTTATGGGGCAGATGCCCTGGTAGAAGATGCTGGGAGAGGATGGACCACCTGCCTGCTCCCAGCATCAGGCAGCTTGTCTCTTACATAAGTGTCGCATGGGGAACACTGCAGGAGCCAGGGGTGGGGTAAAGCGGGATTGGGGAGCCGGGTCATTGCCCAGAAGGTTCCTGGCTCCGAGGTAGAATTCCTCTCTCTTTCTCTCCCTCTCTCTCCCTACCTCATTTTTCCCACCATGCCCCACACCTGCTTTCTCATCCTGTTCCACCTTCTGTTTCTGTCCTTCCCACTCCTTTCTCTCTCCTTTCTTCCTCCCCTTCCGGAGGCTTGGGGCCCCCATCTGAGTGTCTTCCCTGGTGATAACCTTTTCCATCTGCATGTATGAGCAGAAGTCCTTGATAATCAGCCAAGGTCAAATAATGCGACTATCATGCATCGGGTATTGGTACCAGGCAGAAGCAGTATTTTCTGAACAGAAGTCAAGGCGATGAGGCAGCTGTGGCCCCTGCCCTCCGAGGGGTTGGTGCCCTGAGCAGGGTCTGGGGCCTGGGGCTGGGAGGGATGGCAGCAAGGACAGAAGGCAAGGGGTACAACTCACACTTTCATGTTGTCACCTCCCAGTTCACCTAAAAGGGAGGAAGAGAAAGGTGGTTAGCTTGGCTCAACCTGCAACGAGTTTTCAATTCAATAGTGAAACAAACACAATAGCTCCAAGGAAACTGCCTTTTGCAACTTCATCTATCATCTGTTAGTTTCAGAAGCTCTGGCTCCCTCCCCAGTACACAGGTGCTCCAACCATCCCTCTTGCCTCCCACCAGCAGGCAGCAGGCAGATATCAGGCAGAACAGGGGAGCCACCTCCAGGGGCCTGTGGCGGGGCTGATCTGCCAGTGCTCAGTTCAGATCCCAGGCTAATCCCTCTTCATTTCCTATCTCCCGGAGAGAACAACACAGTGGTGAGGGAAGGAGAGGGAGGGTTCAGGATCAGGGCTTGCTCCCAGCCCATGTCACAACACCTGGGGTGACCTGCTGCCCTGAGGACACTGACCCCATGCCTCTGTCCTGCTGGTGGCTGTGGCTGCTCCATCCTCAGCTCCCCTAGGGACTGCCCTTATTCCCTGCTCCAGCAGAGGCTGGCTCCTGCACAGCCTCCAGATCTCCAAGCTTAACCACTCTGTTGAGAGGCCCTCGCAGCCTCTGGCTCAAAGCAGGTCCACCCTTCCTATTCTTTGCAGCTCTGCATCTCTTAGGCGTGTGCCTGGGCAGTGGCCACAGGTTCTCATCCAGCAGGTCATTTGCCTTCTCCACTTCCACCCCTCCCCTGCCTTTTTTTTTTTTAAAGTTTTAGTTATTTATTGGAAGGCCATAGTTACTGAGAGAGAGGGAGAGATAGAGACCATGAGCAAGAATGAACATAAGAGCGAGAGAATAGGAGAAAGATCTATACTTGATACATTCCCCGATGGCTACAATATCCCATGGGGCCAGATGGAAGCCAGGAGCCTCGAACTTCATTAGAGAATAGCACATGGGTCCAGGGGTCCAAAGAACCTGGGACATCTTCCACTGCTTCCCCAGGTGTGCTAGCAGGGAACTGGATCAGAAGTGGAGCCGGGACTTGAATTGGCACTTATACAAGCTCCTCGTATTGCAGATGATGACTTTTAAGTCACCTCCCCACAATGCTGGCCACTGCATTAACTGTTTTTTTTTTGTCTTTCTCTGCCACTAGACTGCAGCTTCCGAAGGGCACAATCACATTTGTCACATCCAGTGTGGCATCACGCCAGACCAAGGTCCACAAGCATTGCACTCGGGCAAATGCCTTGTCAATGCAGGAGTACTTCCTAGAGTTTCTGGGAAGATAGCATTAGAAGATAAGTTCATGTTGGTGCTAGAAGTCAAAATCCATGCACTGCATTTTTCATAAAATGCATTTTTCATGAACTTTTTCAAGACCCTCATATTTATTGAGTAAGTCTTAATAGCGATCGGCACTAGAGTGAAGTTCACGTTCAAGTTTTTGGCCTTAGCGTCATCAGTCATCATCACAGTGCATCTTCCAGCAAGCCCACTGGGTGGCTGTTGGTTGCGGTTAGAGTCAGGTGGCAGTTTGCAACAACAGGACTCTGTGGTAGATCTGACTGGAAGTGAACCCCAGGTAACAGAGTCCTGGTGTCCTAGCCCAAACTCTGCTGCCTTTGCCAGCAGGTCAGGCACACCCAGCAGAACAGTGTGGAGCAAGTGGGCAGCTTGGGTCCTCTGCACCTCTGCTGGCAAGACCAGGGGAGAACAAGACCCTCTGAGGCCCTGCAGATCATCCCATCCCTTTGGCCTTTGCCCACTGGGAGCCTCCTTTTGTCTGCCCTGCAACTGGTCAGGCCCCCATGCAGGGACCACTGCCTGCAGCGTCCCAGCAGTGCAGAGGGAGCTGTCATTTCTTGTGTTTGGCAAGTTTGACTGGCACTGCTGATTCAGGAATGCTGGGTACAAATGCAAGTTTCAAGTCACCAGTGTTTGCCTTGGCTGGAGGGGAGGGGTCTGGGTACGCCTGTTCCCCAGCGTCGGCCCCCTCGTTCAGGTGCCTGAAGCTTCAGAAAGTTAGGATGGGGGAGAGAAGAGGACCTTCACTTTGCAGCGTTTGCACACTCATTTTTAACCTGAAACTCAGATTTGACAGTAAATAAATCCACACAGTTACATTCCTGCTCCCACCACGGGTGACGGGGTGTGGAGGGGGCAGAGCTCCAGTGTTTGAGTGCTCCCTGCTCTCACTCCCTTGTCCCCTGTTTAATAACCCCTAGTAGCTCTCAGCCCCTGCTGCGGGCATGGATTTATCTTTATAATCTGCAGTTCCCTGTAGGCTTCTTGGTGAGCAAAAGCCAGCCTTCATGCAGATGCTGGGGAAGTTTAAAACCCCATTACAGAAGCACTCAGGAGGCACCCACACCAAGTGCTTGTAATCAGTGTTAAAGCAGCAAAAAGCCTTCTGTGGCCTCCTCTCCCTGCTCCACGGCCATTACCCCCATTACCATGGCAACAGGAAAGTGTTAGGGAGAGTACCAGAGGAGACAGGAGGCCAATGGCAGGTCCTTGGCTTGCACACCCTGCCCGCCCCACTTTGCCTGGATTCTATCTATTACCAGCCATCTGCTCTGCTGCCCCCTCCCACTCCCTCCATTCCCTACCTGCTCCCAGTCCTTTCCATGTCCTGATACCCATTTTGTCTTCCTCCTGCACTTCCCATCTTACACCCAGCCAACCTGCCAAATCTCCCCCACTATGTACCTGATGACAGGAAAGCTGCTTGGGGAGAGAGGCAGAAGATGTTCTGGCCTCAGGAGACTTGGATTTCCCTGTCTTTTGTCCCTGATGAGCTGTGAATCAAGTCACGAACCAAGTTGGATTTCCCAAACAGAGCTGGGCATACTACAGCAATGGCCACCAAGGGGTTAAATCAGTGGCTTCTGGCCAGGCCTCTTGCCTGCAGCCATCTCCTAGGGACCGGTCATCAAAGGGGTAAATAAGTCTTAAACAGCAGCCACTGCAAAGGTAAGGCCCTGAGGTCCAGGGGAAGAAGAATCCAGAACATTAAATGATTTCCCAACTATTTCCCTGGTCAGGAAACAGACAGCTTCCCCCGATCATCACCACCACCCAAAAGAGGCTGGGGTGGCACAGCAGTTGAGATGATGCCCGGGGACAGCCACATTCCACACTGGAGTTCCTGGGACAGGCCAGGGGCTCTATTTCAGATTCAGTCTGCTGCTGTTGTGTCCCCTGGAGGCAGCAGGTGAGGGCTCCAGCATTTGGGTCCCAGCTGCCCATGTACAAAGACTAGATGGCGTGCACAGCTTTGCCCTGGTCCAGCCCTGACTACTGTGGGCATTTGGGAAGTGAACCAGCAGCTCTTGGTTGCTGGCTTCAGCTCCAAGCTCAGCTCCGGCCATTGTGGCCATTAGAGGAGTGAACCAATAGATGAAAGATCTCTCTCCTCTCACTCCTCCCTCCTTCTCTCTGTGTAACTCTGTAACTCTGTTTTTCTAATAAAAAAAAAAATATATATATATATATATATTTAAAGATTCAATAGGAGCAGGTTTTTCTTAGTGGTTAGGATACCTGCATCCCATATTGGGGTTGTAGGATCAATTCTGGCTCTGGGTCCTGGTTCAAACCTCCTGCCAAGACAGATCCTGGGACTCTAACGCTCCTTCATGGACTACAAACATGTACTGAGCAGATGGTGTGTGTTGGGGTAGGCATCATGTTAGGCAAAGGGAGAAGAAATAAGCAACGATTATTGTATGATTAATGTAGCATTTATCGTATGCCTGGTGATCCATGTAACTCTTACAGTGCTGGGAGGAAGGCATTGGGTTTCCTGAGCTACAGACGAAGTTCGATCAAGGTCGCAGTGGCAGCGAGTGTACTGACCAACTGCAGTCCGCACGACCTCAGCACCACACTGTCAACCCAAATGAACGAGAGACATTCTTGTTTCGTCAACTTCATCACACAGTAGGAAAGATAGAAAAAGACAAGAAAAAGAACACCTTTTTTCCATTTAAAAAAAAAACACAGAATTATTAACCTCTGGAAAACCTCACGGAAACAAACCATTCATTACTTGCTATCATATGTAGTCTTTGTTTAAGTCCTTTTATAAAGTTTTTAACATTTTTTTCATGTTATTTGAAATAGAAAAGGTCAAAGATGGAGACCATCCATCTGCTGGGCCAAGCCAAAGCCAAGTGCTAGAACCAGGCTGAGTCTCCTGCAGGGGTGACAGGGAGCCAAGGGCTTGAGCCATCACATGCCACCCCCTCAGCACACATTAGCAGGGAGCTGGGATCAAAGCAAACACTTCAGCACTGTGCTTAACAATGGCCTTATTGCTTAATTCTAAAACGTCTCAGTTCCTTGTTGCCATTGCGCCCTCATCTCTAAGCAGATGTTCCGGTAATTCTTGGAATACTTACACGTCTGTAACGCGTTCTGAGATCCTTGGCTAGAAGGCTCTGCAGACAAGCATAAAAAATTGTGTCTTACTGAATATTCATTTACACACACGCAAGTGTCTGGAAATGGGTAGACAACAAATATTCACCTTGCTTAGCTCTTTTTCTTTTATAGTATATTGCAAAGGGTACTACTATCAACACTAGGAGGATCAATAAAGCCAACGGGACCGCGGCCATTAATATTAGCTGCAACTGCATTGTATCCTCAGCCATGTGGGTGAAGTTGGCATCCACGGTGGGCAGCTGCAGGGTCACTGCATCAAAGGTAGTCAGGGGAGCATCTTCCACTGCTGCGTCTTCCCCGACCATGTCTCCCGACTGCTCTGCTTCCTCATAATCACCTGTGGGAAGACGCACAAAACTGAGATGGCCGTGGAGACACAGCTGGTGTGCTACGTGTTCTGTGGTTTTTAAATGGATCCTTGCCACATTCAATCCTAAACATGAGCCACTGGGCGTGGCTCTCAGGCCAGGCTGACAGGAGCAGCGGGCTGAAGGTAAACAGAGCTCCAGCTGGGAGTAGAGCGAGCATGGAACCACAGCTTGCCAGTCACCCCCCACAAAGGCAGTCATGTAGCCTTGACCGGATACAGTAGCAGCACTTAGAGCAAAGAGCATCAACACACCCCCTCATGTCAAGGCTGATGTGCCAAGCCGTGTGGTATTCTGAGATTACTCCTGGAGTTTATCATGAGACTTTTTAATATGATTTCTCAATACATTTAAATTCACCTTTACAGGCCACATAACGTGTTCTCATTTTTAAGAAAAGGCTGGACCTAGTGGAAAATAATTTGTTGAAGGTAGAGCAACTGCTTAGGTCTTGGTGTCAGTCTCCCGTTCTGTATAACCCTCTGGGATTCTCTGACCAATCTTCCTGGGTTCTCAATGAAAACGCAATGCACATGTCACTGACAAAGGGAAATTCCCAATATTTACATTTACTGAAAGAAATGTCTCCATGGAAGTGTTCCCTATCATCAGGCAACCAAGGGCATTTTGCTTTGGCCTCAGATTGTACTGAAAAGCTGCCTCATTCCTGATGACAGGACAGGGAGAGGACATGGGTGGGTGACAGTTTTGCAAGTCTTTTCTCTCCTGGCCAGGTGATGGTCATGGTCAAGTGAGTTAAAGATCTGAGTCCTATCATGAGGTCACACTACCTGCCCTTCAGGTGGGCCCAATGAGCAGTACTCCCTGTAAACTGAGGCCATGGAATCTATGGGAAATGCTTTCCCAGGCATGAGGCATCGTGCAGATGCACAAGTTGGCTGCAGTAAAGCCACACGTTAATCCAGAGCAATGAAAGTGGACCTGGCAGAGCCAATTTATTATCTGATTTCAGGGCTGGTGTGATGATAGAACAAGCTAATCCTCCACCTGCAGCAACAGCATCCCATGTGGACACCGGGACAATGAACTTTGATTAGGATTAAAATAACACAAATATTTGGTCATTGCTAAGGATTGAATGTTCACACACACACACACCCTTCACGTGGTGAAGCGCTAATTCCCAATGTGATGGGTTTTAGGGGGGCCTTTGAGCACACTAAGATTGGGGTGACATCATGAAGGCAGGACCCCCATGGTGGGATTACTATCCTTATAAGGAAATCGGCAGACATCATTGTATGACAGATGAAGCCATTGCTTTTGGCCTTTGCATTCTGCCCATGTTAGCCCCAGTCCCAGCTGCTCTGCTTCTGATCTGGCATCCTGCCAGTGCATCTGCGACTCCTGCCACCCACATGGGAAACCAGGATGGAGGTCCTGGCTCCTGAAATCAGCCTGGCCATGTGGGGAATGAACTGACGCATGGAAAGCCTCTCTCTCCCTCCTTACCTCTCTCTCCCTCTTTCTCTCATTCTGCCTTTCAAATGAATGAATCAATCACTTAAATAAAAGCAGAGCCCAGCGTTCTCTGTCCTTGCCAATGGGGACACACCAGAAAGCAGTCATCTGCACACCAGGAGGTGTACCCAACAAATGTCAAATCTGCCAGCACCTGGATTTTGGACTTGCCAGCCACCCAGTTGGTGGTGTTCTGTTATGGTGGCTGAGCTGAGACAGCCGCAGTGTGATGATCTGGTTATAGATATAAATATGGCCTTCCCACGCAAGGCCAGGAAATGCATCTGACAGTCACGCTGTCCTGAACCATCTACATTCATCACATGCAAACTTCAGAGTGTCACTTCCCTGTATTTCTCACACATACATGCCAAAAGCAGGAGGAAGAGGTGGCCTGTCCTTTACTGGTCTCCGTCTTGTGCATTAAGGGATTTGGATGGTTACACAGCTTTGGTTTGAGCTGAGCCGATGACGTGGTCATGCCTATGTGAAAATCTTTGCTGTCTGGTGCCACAGGGGAGCAGGGATAGGTATTGCCCACACATACACTCCTTAAAGTCACTTCACTTCCAGGACCACTGGGATTCAACATAGTACTCTGCCCTGGTAACCTTGGCAACTGAGGGGCAGGGGTCGGGCGAGGAGGAAATGATGTGTCTGCAAGTGTAGGCGGTGGCAATGCCCTAACTCCCGGCCATGGGTGCTTAGGGTGCTTATCCTGCTCAGTTCTCCAGGGCACCAACAGTCACATTCACACAATTACATGCATATACACACACTCACACATACACACCTGCTCACATACTAATACTCTCATTCATGCTCACACTCTCATATACACACAAAAACGTGCACACAAATATACTCACACATTCACAGACTCATACACATATACACATAGACACACACCAATACATGCACACTCACATAATATGCTCACATTCACACACACACACACTTGATTGCTTTGGCTTCCTTCTCTCACTGCCAGAGGCCCTGTTCTAACTTGGGCTAAATTGAAGTGACAATTTGCCAAGGGGACAAACTCTGTGCCCAGCAAATTATCTCATTACTCCTCACTGTTTCTTCCGGATCCACTCTGCGGCTGGGAGGTGGTACAATGTGCCCAAGATGCCAGAGCTAGCAGGCAGGATTAGAGACTCCGACGCCAGGTTCTCGGCCTGCCCCGCCTCCCTAACTGGAAGCAGATGCCCCTCAGTGAACTACCCAGACTGTAGGGTTCAACTCTTATTTCAGAAAATGCACTTTTGGTAGCAGCTGAGCTTCTGGCTGGCCACTCCACTTGGCACACAGCCAGGGAGGAAAGTTCCTCATGCAAGGCAATACCCCTCGCCCACAGAAGGAGGTGGCTCTTGGGCACAGCGGAAGTGAGGAACCGGGTCCTGGGCACCTGTCATGTGTTTGGGACTCCCCTGCCCAGGGTGTGAGATGGTCCCAGTGACTCTGCAGGGAAGGTGAGTGAAGTTTCCAGAATGTTTTGTGCTCTGCCTCAGCCCTTGACCCCTAGCCCCAGAAATCAGCCAGCCAGAATAAGGAGAGCATTTAGCCCATTGGGGCTGGGAGCAACAGACAGAAGGGCACTGGGTGCCCAGGGCTGTGTATCTTTCTCAGCTTGAGATAATTCTGACCGTGGATGGGCCTTGGCATTAAAGGGAACGTTCTCTCCACAATGTGCCGTCACACACACCCTCACATTGGTTTGCTTCATGCTCTCTCAGATTCTTCAGGGGCTGTTTCAATGAGTGAGGATCAAGTGAAGGCTCCCCCTGCCCCTGCATGTATTATTTACCCCGTAAGTCTTCACCTTCAGAGAGCCCTAGGAGGGCTTCCATCCGAGCCCACTCCCTGTCCAAGCTCCAACTCCATGATAACCTAGAAATTGTACGTAAGAGTAACTGTATTTACTGGCTGCTCAATTCATGGCATATGCCAGGACAAGTACGAGTGGCATGTTTTGACCTTCACAGAGACCTTAATGTCCCCAATCTATAGATGCAGAAACTTGAGCCTTGGAGCTGGCATTGGGGCTTAGCAAATAAAGCTGCTGCTATGATGCTGGCATCCCATATGGGCACTGGTTCGTGTCCTGGCTGCTCCACTTCCGATCCAGCATCCTGCTTATGGCCTGAAAAAGCAATGGAAGATGGCCCCAATGCTTGGGGCCCTGCACTCACATGGGAGGCCTGGCGGAAACTCCCGGCTCCTAACTTGCCCAGCCCTGGGCTAGTGTGGCCATTTGGGGAGTGAACCAGTGGATGAGAATTCATTCTCTCTCTCTTTGCTTCTTGATAACTCTGACTTTCAAATAAATAAATATATATATTTTTAAATGAAAAAGAAAGGAAGGAGGAAGGAGACAGTCTGGGCTGCTGGTGCTGGGGAACGGCAGCGTTTGTGTTCAGTGTTCCGAACCTGTGGGGCTTGCAGCTGCATCTCCTCAGGCGTGGCCGTCCACTGAGGGTGCTGTCCTTCCTTGTACAGCTGAGGATTTGGACAACCCATTCATCCTTGCACGGCTTAATGTGCTCATCGATCCAACTGAGGAGTGATCCCCAAGGCCCCATCTATTTCCACACTGAGTCTCTACGCTGAATCCAAAGCATTGACCTTGCTTTTAATTAAACTTCCTGGAGAGGCAATATGCAAGGGGTACAGGCTCAGAAAAAAAAAAAAAGTTCTGCTGCTATCCTGGCCCCCATGGTACAATTTCCTTCCCCAGAGGTAACCACTGTCCTGCTGCCTTCCAGAGAACTCTATGTGGATAAGGCGTTGGTATTAGTTCCTGTTTCCTTTACTCATAGAGACAAACAGGAGCAAAATGTATCCAGTATTCCGCCCCTTTCTTTCTTGCACTTGGCATTTCACCTTGAACCTTGTTCCATGAGGGGTGTGGAATTAAGTACAGAGTGCTGTCCCCACCACCACCCGGAGCCATGACTTGGATCTGTCGCCACCTGACCCTGCTGCTGGAGATCTCTCAGGAGGTTGTTGTGGTTTCAACAGTGCCATTCACACATCCCCTTGTTCATCCCTGAGGTTTCCCACAGGCAGGACAGTTTTGACAGCGGAGCTCAGCAGAGGGGAGAGAAGGTGTGGGGGATGCGATAAAGGGGGCAGTACTTCCCAAGACACAGCCCAGGCGGAGTCCTCTCACTGTGAGGCTTGACAGAAACCTGATCAAAAAGGGCTGGGTGTGGGGGGCAGCCTGTGATGGCCCCAGTGGGTGCTGTGGCTTGGACTCGTCTCCCCCAAGTTACGGCATTAAAAACTAAACCCTTGATAACTATGTCGATGTTGGGACCATGGGGTCTCTGCGAGGTGGTGTGGATGACATGATGGGGCATCAATGGCTTTGGAAGAAGAGGAAGAGAGATGATGTTGGCACCTTGCCCTGTCTCACCAAGTGACCCCTTCTGCCATCTTATGACCCAGTGAAGAGCCTTCACCATGCAGATGCCAACCCCAG